GTAAAATATTCATTTTAGATATTCATTTAGTACCTTTAGAAAATCTACCTCAAATTCACGTTTCAATATCAATCAAAAGTATTTTTTTAAACCTTATAGAATATATTTATTTATTCATATTTACTAAACATAAGTTATATATACGAAAATCATTCTATATTATATTGGGAGATATAAGTTGCGATTCACTTGCTATGTGTCCGTTCAAAGGAAAATTTGGCTCACATATCCTTCCTAATTTTGAATATTTGTAATAATATATTTTTAAAATAACAATATCATAATATGTATGATAGTGTAACTGAAGAACATTGATTCATATTTTATAAAATATTAAAAAAAGAAAATAAAATTGCTTATTAAAATTGTGTAAATTCAATTAACCTATGTAGAAAGAAACGTTATTAAAATGAATCACAGCAAAGTCCCACGTTAGTTGAAAGGTTTCAACTTAAAACGAACAATTTTCACTTACAAAGACTATTATAAAATAATTTTAAAATCTTCATAATAACATAGAGTTAAGTCGAAGAAAAAAGGTGTCTTCGACAAAAGGTCCTAAAAGGGGGTTTCCGCAATGGAATTATTATATAATCCCGACTGGGACCAAAATTACAAGGCAACTCTCCCCTTTGATCAGGACGATTAGGGGATTTTTTTGCCCTGACGGCAGGTCTGGGGCGCCACTAGGGGACGCTGTGCAGGTTGGGGCCAGAGAAGGGCTAGCTCTAATTGGCCTTGAATCCTCCATCTTCTGGCCGCAAGTCAGCCAGGTCGGTCCTCATCTTCTCTGCTGGAGCTTTCCTCAAACCTAGTGCGTAGGTCTCATTACTCACTTTGCAAAGATAGCAAAATTTACTTTGCTTCTTCAAAGAAATTTATTTTTAAAATCAAATTATAATTTTAAATATTTTTTCATCTTTCTTTAAGATGCAGCGCAGAACAAAAATTGCAAGACGAGCGTTATTAAATTTCAAATGAAAATCAAGTTCAATCTCAAAAATAAGGGTTTTTTTTATTATCATCGAGAGTATCAAATAATAACGTGATGTTTCCCGAACCTTCTCTCGGACGCTTTTGTTTAAAATGGTTTTCAAAAATAATATTGGCAAGAAACAAGCGCGCAAAAAGGAAAATGTTTAGCTTTTCAAAAATATCAACGATTTCACAAATTATATTAGCAATTTAATATATAAATAGATTATTTTCATATTTGTAAAAATATTCCGATTATGAAAAATGCTGAAAGTTAGTTTTCATATGCGGTAGAACCTCTTTGTAAAGAAAACCCAGTTGCAGAGTAAAGTTGGCCCTTTAGAGAAATGTGTCCTCTTGCAGGAGAGTTGATAAATAGTAAAAATAGTAATTTTGGCAAAATTAAAACTGCCCTTTGTAGAGAGGTGTCCTCTTGCGGGAGTATTCTCTCATGGAAAAGTTCTACTTATACATTTTAAACCAAGAATCAAAAAGTTAATTAAAATCTTAAATATTAACCGTTCAATATGAACCTGCTGTGAACCGTAGGTATGGATTCGTGAGTGTCTTGACTATTGGTTTAAGCCATTTTTTAGATTAAGCCATAGCAATCAAAATGGAGGTATTGGGGTTGTGATAAACTGCTGTATCTAATTTCTCTCTATATTGGTCACTTACATTTTCAAGATGCTTTTCTTCTGTCTTTTCTGTATTAATTGCGAAATGTTATGTTGTTGTGGTAACTTTTTGTGAATTCAGGATGCGATTTTCTTTTTTGATTGGATATTTAAATATATCATCCAGAGTTATCTGTTTATCTTTTCGGTTCTACGCTCTTTTAATTGCAACTACAGCTATTCATGTTTAAAACGCCTATTTCAGGTTCAATGGGTATAAGTGTTAATGCGGATATTTTCAATCTAGGAGAATCCTATATAGGAACGAGTTTTCTTAATAAAAGCTTTGTTATTGTTAATGCGGGTTTCACATTTTCCTTATAAATCCTTTCTAAAATTGAATATATTCACGTCGAAGGTTGCTGTATATAATAAAATAGGGTTTCAATTTCGATTGGTTTGTTGAATTGGCCGGAATCGGACAATGTAAGATTATATCGCGCGGTAAACATGTATGTAAGTATTCTAAACTGAAGTATGCTATTTTATGTTCTTTACCACTTTCTGGATAACTTAGTTTACCTAATAAATCTGTAGTGAAGTATTTTTAGTCTGCCCTGTCGTATATATAATATATGGTGTATAGATTTAGTAACTTCTGTGGTTAGTGATCGGCAGTATGGCAATATCGGTCTTGGCGAGTGTTTTGGGGGACTATACATGATATGTCTCACATGTTGATATTGAATGGATATCTGGTCTTGGTTTATTCTGCTCTTAAATATAAAAATTGTTTCAACCATTGTGTGACTAAATCCGTCTCAACTATAAAGATACTCTATTACGTGTTTCATACAAGCAATGGAATAGCTTATTACATTTAAAATTTGATACAATATCAAATTTCTGGGAGAAATAATGGTGGTAGAGTATGTCTAAGCGATCTACAGATAATCTTCAAATTCCCGTCTTGCATTTAATTATTGTTTAACTAAATAATACAAAGCATTTACTTCTTCACGAATCTGTTCAACACTGAAAGGAACAATGATTCATTTTTCAAACGCAATATTTATGCGAGATCCTTTGTCAAAGAAAGGTAAAATAAACCTCTCTCAGTTATAAAATGCTTCTAGGTTTTATATAACCACATTTGCATAATTATATATATACAATGATATAGCAATAACGCGTCTCTCTTGTCAGTATATAAGAGATGAACCTATTGAATACTTCATATAAAAATATTTAGGGCAAAACAGAAGTATATTTATCAATTTTTTCTTCTTCTCTTTTACAATTAGCCTCGCTATAGAAAGAAAACATAATTCCTAAAATTTTCTACCCAATAACTTTTCATTTCAACCAATTAGAAGCCCTTTCTATTTACTAATATAAATATAATGACGGCCAATATATATATCGTGATTTATAATATTTTCATTATTTTCTTCAAAAAAATATATTTTTACTGAAGTTATATTCGATCTAAAAAAACATACCTAGATTTTTAGGTTATTCTTAATTTAAATGCATTCGAAGACAATTAAACGCTTGTTTTTTTTTAAATCCCTATGTCGGCGATAAGAATAATTGAAATTTTTTAAAACTAAATTCCATCAATAAAGAGTGTGCTGAACTTTATCTCCAATTAAACAAGGATTAAAATCCAAACCTTTTTAAAATTAAACAAATAAAATTATGAAGGAAATGAAATTATTCTTAAAAACTTTGATTCTGTAATTAAATTTATCTATACGCATATATATAACCAATTGAAATATTGGTAAATATATTAATTTTTGATCCAATATATGCATTTATAATATATATATATATGGAAACTTTCCCGGGAATGGAAATTTTTGCCTAGTTACTTTGCCAGCTAAACACCTCTTTGCAAGATTTTGAGGATTCCTTTGGATCCCTTGTGATTCGCATGAAATAAAGTCCGCCCTAGGCTGACGAGGGACATTAACTCGAAACCATGGTCTCTAGGTGGATGCTTATCAATTTGACAAAGATGGTGTTGTGGCTTTGTCACCGAAAGATAAATAGCGTTTCTTCTTTATTGCAGAAAGGATAAGCTTCGAGATTCAAATAAATTTTATACAAATCAAAGAGCCATTAAAATGAAAATCTGAAAAGCTTATATAATTTAAATATTCAGAATACCGCCAAAGATAACGCGTTATCAGAATATTATATGAGATTAATTCTAAAAATCGACCAATTTACACTAAATAAAAATTTTCAACAAATATGAACATAAAACAATATTCAAATTTAAGAGGCGTTTGATAGACCAACGTTAAAAAAAGGAATATAAAAATATTATATTTCTTTAAGACATTGAATATATATAATATATATATATAAGGGTATTTTCTAGAATAGACTATGTTTTCTACTGATTCTAGTAGTTAAGAGTGTTAGAAGATAGAAACACAAAGATTCGAGGATATTCATTCTTCTTTAGAATTTATATCACCACAATTATAACAGCATTTGTTATTTATTTGAATATTGTTTTGAATTACCTAAAAACAAAGGCTGGTGAAGCCGCTTGAAATCACACAAGAAATATAAATTGATAAATGATTTAGTTTTCTCTCTCTCGTACTTTTTTTATCATAAAAAAAATAAGATAAGAAGAATACAATAAATTATCATAGATAATCCATTTGTTAATTCGTCATATGTACCATCAAATAGGTATTTTCTAACGCAAGTAAGCAATGTCTGTTTATCATACTATATATGAGGAATAGTTTGAGCTATAATAAATAGGGTATTTTTACATCATCTAATCATTTTATATACTCATATATCTCTGTAGCATAATTATATAAGTAATTATTGAGCGCCAATCTTGTTTGACTGAAGGTAGAGGGCCTTCAGAAGGGTAGTCAAACTTTGTAACCCAAACTGTGATTATTTGGCAACAAACGGTAAAAGAGATCTACTGAATGTCTATCGACATAACGTGGTTTGTTTATTGTTGCTTTCAAATATAATATACCTGAATATATGTTAAAAATCATCAAGAATATAGGCTATTAAAATCTATCATATAAATTTGAAATTTTGCTTAGAGAGAGAGAGAGAGAGAAATAATATTACCGTTTTCTATAATATACCAATTAAAATATATTGGTGCAATGAATCATGCCGACTTTACACATGCCATTTCAAACATATAAGCGGTTATGGCATATAGCTATTGCCAGTGCAATAGAGGATATATCTTAACTACCAACCCAGATAGTTATGAAGGCTTCTTGACCAATTAGTAAGGAGCCTGCATTATGTTAAGGGGGCCATAGTCCGAAATATGTGCGTAGATGAACTCACTTGATATATCATAAAAAGGTTTGAGCCGCTAAAAAATTGAATGTTTTAGAAAATATGTAATCTGATTTAAAAAAAGTAGCCTTTCAGGAAATATCTTCGCCATCGTTTCAATGCCTGATATTTCGTTGGTTTCTCTTTTTTTCAGTTGAGAACTTGAGTCTATATTAAAGCTATACTGAAATATATAAAACTCTAGAAATATATTACAATGCCTCAGTGCTCTTATATACTGATAAGTATTCAATATTAGCGTTATATTGTTTTCTGAACGAAATTCACAAATGAGAACAAATAAACTTTCTAGGGAGACATATCATGACGCCCCAAGCAATCTATTTTGAATAAAATATTTAAAATTCAATTTGAATTTCAATATCCAATATGAAACTTATTTTGATCCTTCTCAAAAATATTCATATTAAGAAAAATTAAATTCATTTTCTATCAATACTCAATACTCTATCAATGGACAAACCCATATTCTAGTAAAAGAGAAAGACCTTCATAATATTAATCAATAAAAATACTTGTTTTGAGGCAAGTTTAAACTACAAAACGTTAGATATCAGATACGAATTCAATTAATTATTAGGTTTGACAAGATGGGGAGAAATATGGAGCTAGGATGAAGGGCGCTATATTCCGACATATCGTGTCTATCATCAAGATATAACGTGGATAATAACTCACTAGTAATTAGGTTCGATAGTGTGAAGCACTGAATGTGAGATAATATCCCGGTTAAGCGACACACGAAGCTGTTTGCTATTCCTCACCATTTGTTGATACAGATGAGTTAGATCTTCTCACACGCAAATTCGCAATCTTTATGGGCCAAGTTTCCCTAAAGTTTCGAGACGTCAATTAACCGTATCCACGATTAAGTGTCCATCCAACAAAAAGAGATGATGGAAAGAGCTAGTGCGTGATGTGGCTACTATTATTGTTATAAGTGTCGGAAGACTTTCTTTTTAAGAAAGAGTAAATTATGAAATTCTCTTCAAAAGGTATATGCGAAAGCGAAAGCCTTATAGAGAAACTGCGTACAAAAATATAGACAGAATCATCTTAAATTTAAATACCATATTTCTCATGTGTTTTTTCACATATTTGATTTTTAGAGGGATTTATATGAAAATATATGATCGCTTAAACAAAATATTTGAATAATATTTGTTCTTGTTGTATCATTAAGTTGCGATATCTTTCAGTAAAAGATTTATTTATATAAAGAAATCGCACAAGTAGAAAACTTCATTTACTAGTTCATATACATATATGTATTGGTAAAAAATATGGCGCAATATGAATGTGTAATATAGTAAATCATCAATGCGCTTATTTTGGTACTAAAATACTAAAATGGTCTATTAGAAATAATTATTCGCAAATTATTGTAAAACATTAATGTGTAAAGAAAGTTTACAAGAATTGTCCAAGAAGATAGGCGTTCAGCCTCGTCGAAATATTGTCTTTTAATTTTCCTTGTGGCCAAATAAAGCCGGTTGATTAATATCATTGCATGGATCATAAAATGGAACTAAAGTACAACTCTCCTGATTGGTTGGAATATAGATATATAAATGGAGAGTATTCTGTCTGTTATTCGTCTGCTAGGAAAGAATATAGCAATATGACTTAAAGAACAATCTCTAACAATGTGTTATTACGTTCGATTTCAGATGTTTAGCAATCAGTGTTTATGGATCATAATCTTCAGCGTGAAACATACAAATGTGAAATGTTTAAATAAACATCTTTTTAGTTTTATTTAAGGCTTATTTGTTTTTCCTATCATATTTCAGAATATGATTTATGCTGTGTCCAACAATGATCAAATAACGTAAATAATCCTTGCCGTATTCACACCGCAGTAAGTCAATCGCGAGGAGTGTTGAAATTATTCTTCGACGGAAAAAAGAAAAGAACAGCTCAAGGTTTCCCATGGCTGAGAGCCACTTGAGGCCTCTTCAGTCGCTGTACTTGTTAACACGTAGATTCTTCTTGGTGAACCATTGGATTGTGATTCGCAGGATATCTTTGTCTACAGCGTGATCCTCGCAGCCGTATATGGCTGCATAAGTTATATATAACCTATATTTTAGATATAATGAAATTATATTGATTATCCTTATTTTATATATTTTGAGACACACGCAGATATATATAACTTTATCCATATAAATAATTATGGGGCGCGTTATATAAAAACAAGTAAATTAAATATTAAAATACTTAAAACATTGATATTTGTTCAAATTCCTCCACGCCTTTCGCCATATTCGAATTTTATTAAAGGAAAAAACCCGCAAAATTAAATCCCTCAAATAGATACAATATTCATATAAATCCAGTTAACCTCTAATAGGCATTTTGCTAATTATTAATTTTTTCCTATTTATTCTATAGGAAAAGAAGGAAAAGCGGACTTTTTAAACACAAAGAAGAATAAAGCTACTTTCGTAAGGAACAATCCCCAAGTTATATTATCTTTTCTTCTAGCTTACGACATTTATGGCTTTAAAATTGACCGTAGGTTTCTTATTGTTTCAGGAAGGATTCAATCCATGACTGGAGTTACGATAATTCTGAAGATTTTTATTGATACATTTGAAAAATAAAATCAAGTTTATATACTAAGAGTTTAATCTCCTAATATATAGTGAGGAACTTGTGGTCAGACACAAAGGCCAGAGGGAATATCGTTCCATAAAACTGATCGACCTGCCTGCGACTCCTAGCGGGGGAGGAAGGAACGAAATTTACTACACGTGGTCCTCTAGAAGAATGGAAAATTTCAAAAATCTCGTTTAATATTTCATATAGACTTATATTTTGACTTTTATAGTGTTTCACTACCTAAGTTTAGTCAGGTACACCTTAAAGAAAATATCACAAGTGGGAAAATTGTTTTAGAATTCAGCAGCATTTTTAAAAATCAAGACCAAGTTATCTTATAGTTTTACTATTCCCCCATCATAACAAAGCAATTTTAATCAAAGATATATTCTCGCAATCCTTTCTATAATGAAACACGTGTCACAAAAAAATTGATACTAAATGTTTTGGTGATATGTTCTATGTTTAAGGAAGGGATATGCATCAAGTTCATATTAAATGTTCAGTTTATTTATAAATAAAGAATAGACAGAACAATGTATGCGTTTTTAGCCCTTGGTTCACACAGCGTGGGCTGTATTTCAAGGATCCAGTAAAATGGTCACGGAGGCTAATTGAAAACCAGATAGCGTGTCTACAAGGCCAAATATACATAAAAACTCTAAAATATGTGTAAGAAGAAAGAAAATAAAAAGTATACAAGAAAATCGGGTCATAAATCTTTATATCACAGGTAAATCACTCGAATGGTACAAAAAGGTAGAGTCAATTTGGATCATTTTATAAATGTCATTCATTTAATTATACCTGCATCGTGTTTATCTTAAAATTATAAAAAGCTATGACAATATTCCAAACATATTTGCAAGGTAGAATGGATCAATATAGAAAGGGAATAAAGCGTCATAGATAATACAAAGTCGTGGTATAGGTGTACATTTTAAAATTACTTTTTCGAAAAAAAAAAAAGAAACCTAGTAAAAAAATAGATATCCAATTCGAAGAAAATTTTTGTCTCTAATAAAAGCATTCGGAGGAAAGAAAATCAACGCGCTGCTGAGTAATCAAAAAGTTTTGGGTGAAGAAATGAGTCTTTCAATCAATACGTAAATATACTGGCTGCCCCAAAATATCTTCGACAATTTAAAATTCCCATTTTCTCTTGGAACTTTGAAACACATAATACACTGGTCTATATTTATAAGATGATAACAGGCGAATGCATATAATACAAATGTATTCTTTGTTTTATTTTATTTTTATAATTTATATTTAATGTGTTTTTTTCACCAATAATTTGTGTTTTTCTCAAGATAAAAAAAAAATGCTCCAGGAAAAAAATTATATTTCAACAAATTTTTGTTAGAGTTTCGAGAAACGGAACTTATAGAAAATATATAAAAAATTATATATAGCCTTTTATTTATGAGGAAACTATTTTTTATGATTCTTTCATATATTAGATAGATTTTTATATTTTTATTTTATTCCATATATAGTAGATTTGTTCCATAAAAAGGAGCGGAGATTAGAAAATGTTGAATGAATAAAATTAGCTATTTTTTCATATATGTTATTAAAGAAGCAATTTCTGACATAAAATCATTTTAAAGAACTCCTAAGGCAAGTTTTGAACTAATATGAGTGTATACCACTTAAATATTAAAGTTTTTCTTCTATAAAAAACTTAGGGGAAACTAATTTAAAGTATTAGGGTGTCGTCTACTTTGGTTTTTTGGAAGGAGGAGCTGCACTAGGGTGAAACATGACAAAAGGCGGTGTGGTGCAGTGGAAGGGTTATTTATTGACGTCTGGGTGTGTGTGGCAGCGTCTGGTGAGCCTCGCGGCCATGACGGCAATGGAAAGGGTTAGCAGCGGTGGCGCGCATCCTCATTGGTCAGGCGCGCAGCCAATAGCAGTCCGCTAGCGCTCGAGTGGCAGTAGTGTGCGGCGGGTCCCGAGCCGAGCGAGGTATGGTGTTCTTACTGGGAAATGCTTAGTAGGAACTTCATACCATGCTCGGCTCGGCCCTGAATTTCTTCAGACAATTGCTTCGGCAAGCCAACTTGAGTGCTGAGGTAAGTTTATTTGTTCGTATAACGTGCATGTTCCAGTTGGACTTAGGCACACATAGTGTGCATGACTTTGTTCAACTTAGACACATCGGTCTTAACTTAGAGTTCGTCTCATCAACTCTCCACGGAAAAATTTTTGAAGTCTTCATCACAACTGAATATAATAACATAGAGTTATGTAGATTTACAATCCTACATTGCTCATTTCACATAAAACCTCATTCTATTTTCTTATCGCAAATTTTCCCTATGAAACTTTTGCACTTTAAACATTGGAGTTACATTTGAGAACATGATCTCTCTTTCAAAAAAATAAAAAATAAAACTTCATACCACATAAATAAAACTGAAAATTGAAAATACGCCGCGCATATTTCTGGATACTTGAATGAATTATAAAGCAGTATAACGTGTGAAGAATGGACATATAAAAAAAATAAAAAACGAAATAAACTATGTAAATCTCTTAGAAGAAATTTCATTCCAGCCGCGTTCACATGGATGAGCATTCAAATCCTCCCCCTGCTTCAAAGGGTTAAACTCCTTCGCACTGATATAATCCTTCTTAATCCTAATCCTGAATACCTCTTTTTTCTTTATTAAATTGAATCTTCGCGTACATTGAATGAAAAACATTTTTTGCACATAAAGGCATGAAAACATACATATATTCTTCAAAAAATAATATTTATTATTAAAAAATTAAAATATTGTAAAAGAAAATCCCTCCGAAACGTATTTGATTCAATTTATAACAAATTTTGAATAAATTCGTAAGACTAGTTAAGGAATTAAAAACAAAATGTATGGTATAAAGAGAAGTGTAGGCGTTTGAAGAACAGTAGATTTTCTATATTTGAAAAGAGGTGGCATATATATGTCATAAATGTTTAAAAAAAAAAGATTTTCATCTAAATAAATAACAAAATCTGTTTGAAGTTTGAAATATATATATATGAAGTATATATTTAAAACATATTCGTAAGATTTTGTGTTATTTTATTATTTTATAAATATTTTTAAAAATTATTTATTTAAGTCGACGAGAAAGATTGCCGAAAGAATCTGAGACGATATTTTAGCGCAATAAACGGATGGAAATAAACTTTTTAAACCGTAGTTCTCTCTCTTGAAAACTTTGAATATTTTTAATTTAATTCTCTTACGCGCGCGCATTAAATAATAAACGCTCTCGTTAAAATAAGACTTTAAACTTTTGACGTACATTAGATATTCAGATCAATCTGAAAAAAAAACGTTGCGTTTTGAAAAGTAGAATTATATAATAAAATATTTAAACAGCTATACATTAATAAAGGTTGAAATACTAAAGACAGAATATTTATCGTAATTATATTTTAAAATATCTAATATCATTGTCTTTTAAAGACGATTTTATGTAAATATGATTTATATATTTTATCCTAACAATAAAATACGTTTTTATTTTTTGAGTGTATAAAATACGCTTTTTAGAAATATAATTATGATGCTTAATCAGCCTTCTATCTATACTAGAAATGTTTGATCTTTTAATATATTACGCAACTCTGTTATAAAAAGAATTAAGAGTTTCCTTTAAAACTTCGATTAACGCCCATTTGTATTCTTTGTTGCACAAACGAGGAAAAAAACTACGTATTTTATCAAGCCGTATAAGATACGCTAATTATTTGGCGCCTCTTTTTTCTCTTTTTTTGTTGTTGTTGTTTAGAGGAATCATTTATACCAGACGACATATAAAATTGTTTAAAGAAAACACAAGGTGTATAAAACGGAAATTGATGGAAATTGTTCTACAACGCGCGGAATGAATATCAAACAAACATAAATGACATATAAATGATATGGTGAAATAAATAAAAGTGCTGATTCCATTAAAGCACATCGCTGCCATAAAACAGCGACTTGGAAACGAACGCTTGGTTCCAGAAAAGAGCAAAGTTTGAGCGCGAGGCGGTTGAAGAGAAAGCCCCTCGCACACCGGGGATCGATATATTTAAGGCAATGGCAGTCTGATTTTAAAAATGCAAAGGGTTCTTTCTTTATGTCCAATTTATGCGCAATGCCGGCCGGGGCTGGTAATGAGAGCCGTGCGGTACTGTAGATAAATGAGCCATGTCAGCGAAATACTTGTGATGTCTCGTCATTTATTTAAATACCTCTCTTTCCTTTTTTGTGTGTTCTTTTTAACTAGGCCATATTTTGTTATTGTTTCTTACCCGATGGAAAATAAAAAAACTTTTAACGCGTCTTTCTTTCATTGTCCTTTGTCTTTGTTTATAAACCAAATAGCTAGAAGTGTCTACTTATTCTTTGTGTATGTGAATGACTGTACAAATGCGATGCATGGAAACACGTTGCTATATATAATAACATTTTCGACCTATTAAACGATATTCTAACAAATACATGTATATTTCACATGCGTATATGTTTAGATATATATTAAAAACATCTATTCAATACAAAATATACATACATCCTATGTTTTAAAACGAAGATGTATGTTGAAAATTAATTATGTGAAAAATACGCATGAATATATAGCAACGTGTTTGTATACGTGTGTAGTTCGTTTCATGTTTAATAAAAATATATGTGATGTGCGAGTGAATATGTGAAAGAGACGTATTTCTAAACACCAACGTGTCTGTCCATACGTGTAGTTCACGTTGTCTATTCTTACATCTGTCCAATATTGTCTGTCCAAGATCATCTGTTACGTTCCAGTGCCTAAAATGACTTGCTCATATTTGGTTTTCACATTTGAAAGCTTTAAAAGTATTTTTTCGCAAAGGTTCATTTTAAAAATATTTCAATCCATACCACAGGACTATTCGATATCTTCTTTTACATCAAGAGAGGGTTATTTTCACACTTCTTTCTTCTTTTATTCACAATAGTTTCTTCTGTGATAATATTCCACTATTTGCAAATTTGAAGTCCTTCCAAACTTTTGTTTTTCATTTCAGATATTTTTCGAGATTATTTGGAGATTTTTAAGCTGTCATATCAATGAAATTTGAAACTTTTATATTGTGATATTATCTTTTTTAAAAATAATATCCTACTGTTTCTTCCGTGAAGGAAAAATTGAAAGGAAATTTCGCACTAAGAGTTTCAAAATGTATTAACAGATGGCCATATTAATGCTAATATATACCCTTTCTAGGAAGTTGTTTCAAGATAGACACAATATTTTCGGATATTCTCAGTGTTGGTATTCTTACTTTGTATAATCTGTTATTTTTTGCATCTAATTACAGATATTCGCTTTTTAAAGATGTAAAATTCTTTAGGAAAATCTACAATGGAGCTTAAACGTTGTTAGAAAGAAAGAGATTCGAGCGTTCTAGTGAGAGAAATCTAGAAGAAAGCTTTTTGCTATCTCATTTCATTTCACTACAGAATAATAGAAGACAAACGTGGCATAGAGAGAGATCTCTCAACAATGCAGTAGTAGATGTTATCGTTTTTAATACATTGTAATTAATTTAAACATTTATAGTTGCAATATGACAGTTTATGATATTTAATTTACATTTTTGAAATATAGAGATAGAATGAAATACGCGATGTGTGATGTGAATAAACTATGCACAATCACATAAATCTAAACGTCTAAACTACTTATATATTTTGTCAAGGTATAAAACTATTCATCTTTTCAAAATAAAAAATGATAATATTGATCGTTATTTCTGGAATCTCTCTCAAAGTCTGTGCCATTTCATCTAGCCCTTCAATCATTAAGTGGCATGATCAATACGCTGTCCATTCACTCCTCGACAATGGCGCCACCAAACATTGCGAGATGAAGTGAAATATTTAAATATCACTCTTCAACCGTTTATTTTATCAATTAAAAAAATAGTATAAAAATACTAAAGCGTCTATTCAAATTTTAGTATAAACTTTGTAAATTTTATTAAATTTTGTAAATTAATTTTACCATTTTGGCAATATTTCAAGCTATTTTGGCATCCTCTTTGCAATATTTTTTATGGCATTGCGAGGCTTAGATAGTTTGTAGTCTGCGAGAAGAAAAAATTAATCCAATGAACATTTCGACTAACAATTATTTACATCACAAAAACGGCTAACAAAAATTGATGAAAAAATCTAAAATCTTCTCGTTTAGTCTTTATTATGATAGATTATGTTGCTTTTTTTCTAAAAAAAGGCATATCTATTTTCAATAAGAAATTGAAATAGTTCATTTGAAAAATGGTGGTGAATCAATAATGTCTATCATTTCATTGATGGAAGAATCCAATGTTGGGTTTCTGTATTCGTCAACTTCATCGATTTGTCCCTTTGAATCACAATAGAAAGTTGGTTCTAAGTTCTCTTTGGATTTATTTGCATCAAGTCTTTCTTTTTCCACTAATACATCTATTTGTCCTAACTTCTTTCCATCCTCACGTGTAGTTTTCTCTCTCACTAAGAATATTTCATAAATATCCAAGAAATGACTAACGTCGGTAATTGCGTAAGTTCAGGTCACAACACGTCATTAAAAATGTCCTCTAATTATCACTATTTATTGGCCACTAATAAAAGGTAAGTACAAAATCATTCTATCCATTCATTATAAAAAAAGACAATACTTTTCGTATTCTTTTAAAATCGCATCCTCATATCGCCCAAAACAGATGAAAATTGTGACAAAATATATAACGCACCATATTTTTTATATAATTGAAAATATTCTTATACAATAAACGTTCTTCCCTGATTTATAATATTATAAAGGATATAGAGCTCCCAGGGTTAAGCTCTATTTACTTTATAATTCTTATACAATCTTAATTTTAACCTTGCAGTAAAAGAGCTTAATAAAAGCTTTCTTTTTTTTCAAAGATCGAGTTTATAATTTTGTCACAATTTCAATATATCGCTTCTAATAGAATGAGGATGAGTATCAAAACCATTTTATTAGATAAATTTCAGATTACTTTTGACGTTAATGTTTCTTTTTAATAAATCATCAAAAATTACTTCGATAAAGCCTTATTGCGATGAGATAATTTTATTGTTTTTCATTTTTTATATGAGAAATCTTAGCCTTGGCGCTGGTCAAGCCTCAGTCTTTTAAAAATATCTGACATCGCAGTAGGATTGGCAGAAGTAGTTTGTGAGGATTTATTTGATTATAAGCAATCTCAATGTCAAGTTTAAAGTTTATTAGATAGCTATAATTTATGTATAGATAATTAATTTCATGGTGTAAGTGACTTATGTTAAGCCTTATTGAAATTAATTTATGTGAGGTAAGTATATATTAGTACTAGGAATGGTGAATACATAGTAAAAGTTACCATAGGAATTCATAAAATAAGGTTGTATAAGGTGTTTTTAGTAATTCCCTTAAGAACGAGCTTACATCCCACTTCCCAGGGCTGTCGCTTTTGTAAAATAGAAAGTTACTTGTCTAATCGAACCTCCCATTAGCAAATATCTCCAGAAGACAACAAGTGTATGGGTGGTCTCTCATGGGAGGTGGTGCTACAATAGATAATTAGGATAAAAACTAAAAATTGAATTCTGATAGAAAACCTCTTATCTTATTATCTTATTGGTTCATTTATCAAAAACGTTCAATCTCAAATATTCATTAGAAAATCTCCATTTAAAAGAGAGAAGGTATATCGTTTCATGGAAAACAATTAATCAAAAGAATATAAATCCGAATAAAATGGGCGTTAATTCGCGTTATTCACACACATTAATAAATAATTACTCTAATAATATATTCAGGCGAAATAAATATTTAAAAGATGATAAGTAATTTAAAACTTATTCAAAATTTCAAACTTTTTAAAAGTTACTTATTTTTTTTGAAAAATCAATTAAATATTGTATTTATTTTAAATAATTGAAATCTCTATAAAAATCCTTTAAAATGAATATTTTTCCCTTTTCAGCTTTGTAACAATAACAAAGTCAACTAATTTAAAAGTTTTTTTCCAACAAATTTCAACACTTTTGTTAGGATTTTTTTTAATTAGAGTTTTTGAAATAATTTATAAACTTTACAAGATAGAGGAATTTTGAAGAAAATAAAATGTTTTTGAGCACAAATGTGAAATTTCACATTCCTATCGAATATATATTGGAGCTCTCTCCGATTTAAAATATAAGCGAATATGGAGCTATAAAATTTAATCAGGTGATAAACTGTAATCCAATAAAAATAATATAACGACTCTCAAGATTTTAATATCCTAATTTATAATATATAAGCCTATTTGATTCTAAATATGATTATAAAAGGGGATGGCGATATTAAATATTGTGTTTTACAACTTTGCCATATATAGCGGAGAAAATTTAAGAAAAGAGAATATTTATAATTAAAAAGGCATATATTGGATCAAAATATCATTTATTTTACCTATTAATCAAATATATGCTTTTTTAATTAAAGATTTATTTATGGATTGATCTATTTTCATAAAGAGAATATTTAGTATTCACTTTTTAAATGTTTATAATGATTTAATAAACCATTGGTATACTGATTTCATACTTATTTTAGCCATCGCGGATAGAATACATGTTTAAGCCCATATTGGCTTTACACGCTTAAATAAAAATGGCAATTTTTAATAATTAAATTATAAAATTGAACAAAAAATATATATATAATTTATATTATGGTGTTAAAAAGAGAATTTATTGTATAACTAAAAAGACAGCTATTTTAGACTTGCTATAGAACTTTAGAATACTAAACCCACTGTCTAAAAGATCCTTGACATTTTCCTTCTAAGGTATACCAAGGTAATCAGCTAGAAAAGCGCCAGATTTTGTATTTATATTCCATGGACTTTTGCCAAAAGGGGCAAAATGTCCTTATAACATTTCGAGAGCTATATTACAGCTTGAATAGTTTTTAAAAGGTTGTTTAATTATCAAAATTGTTGTACATATAACAATAAAATATCTATATAAATATTGATATTTTGACTATCTAAAATATTGATTTATAAAGAAAGGATTTTAAAACAATATAAATATTATATAACAAATCGATTTTAGGATAATAAAATATCACATTTTCGGTCATATGTAAAAACTATCGTTTTTTTAGATTATATTTTTTAAAAAGTGGATGTTACAAAATGGGTGGAATGGGGAGAAGAGAGTCAGGCTTGAGATGGAGCCCCAGGCAATCTGTCAGGAGGAAGGGAAGGAAGATGATGTTCGCAGCATCCTAACGATCCCCGAAGTTTGTATTCAGCTCATCCCAGCCCTTCTTTTGTTTACCTCCTCATTCCTGTCTACTATCGATTTAATTAGGTTCGTACCTAAACGATTTCAATCAATTACTCTTCGTGTTGTTTAGCTTAACTTTCGTGTAATAGCGATTCTTACTTGTTATAAACGTAAGTTCTTATGTTTACGTCTGGTTATATTTCAAACATTATTTACCTTTAATACAAAAGGTTTTAAAACACAAAAATTTGCGCAGAGGAAATATATCCATTTAATTATCTGCATAGAAAAAGAATAGAACATTCTTTTTCATCACTATAAATTTCTTCAGTGTTAGAAACCTTCTCATCAATATTTAACTTTTCGTTACTTACCTTAGCTACAAGTACATTAGTAATTTTCACCTGTTGTGAACGAGGGTTTTATGATGCTTGTGTCAGGTTGAATTCGATCATTGTTAGTCATTTCTTATCTCTCTCATTAACATCAAAGGCATTTTAATGGGAACAATTAGTGTTAGAATTATAACAAATCAATATTCACATATAAATTTAATAGAAACAAAACGTTATATTTTCACTACTACTATCTTAGATATGTGTCATCACACACAAACATTTATTTCTTTTGTGTGCATTAAAAATCATTCTTCTCCTCTAATCTCTTCATCCCCTTATAATTATAAATTCAGTTTTTTAAAAAGCCCTTTACTTCAAAAGAAGTGAGCATTTCTGTTTGGAAATTAAAAATTAACAATCTGGTTTACTTCGGATTTAAAATAGGAATTGAAATCGTATATGTTATTCAGAGAGCTCTACTGTCTGATTGGAAGGCTTGTATAATGAGAGGTTTTACATTAGATAATCATCGCTTCTTTTTATTTAGTTCCAAACGTTTCGGTGGCTATCATCCTTGTCAAGGGATATGTCTTTGTTCATATTGTTGACTTATATACTCGAGTATACTTAGATGAAAAAAGTCACATTCATTGACAAAGATGATAAAGAGTCACTGAAAGGTTGGGGGATTAAGATAAAGATACGATTGGTTTATGTGTAAGAATTATAATATAGATAATAATTGCTATATATCTACATATTGTATGTAGTAGGTAAGTAATTGCTATATAGGTATCTAGTATGCATTAATTGCTATATATATATCTAGTATGTAGTAATTGCTATATATCTACATAGTGTATGTAGTATGTAATAATTTCTATATATCTACATAGACTATGTAGATATAAGTAATTGCTATATATATAGTATGTAGTAATTTCTATATATCTACATAGTGTATGTAGTATGTAGTAATTGCTATATATCTAAATAGTGTATGTAATATATAAGTAATTACTATATATATATATATCTAGTATGTAGTAATTGCTATATATATACATAGTGTATTTAGTAGTAACCTCATCAACCAAATAAAAGCAGGAATGGTGACAGTTTAAATGGTAACCATTTATTTATGAGCGCTTTGTA